ACCATCATTGAGAATTGCGATGATAAGCACCATAAAAGGCGGAAAGTCGAATTCCCATATCAAGGCTAGCAACATAAAACCGAGCTGATTCATAGAAAAAAAAAAAGCGTAAAACGAACTGTAGTTTATAAATTTTCAGAGTACAAAAAAATAAGCGCATAACTAACAAACTTACCACAATACGGATTGTAATAGAAACAGCGTAGATCTGCGAAAAAAATCAACAGACATTGATGAATTCATGCATCTTTAAAAAAAATATTACTAAAATTACGAAAAATAGGTATTGCGTAGTATTCGTACCGTGTAATTTTTCATCCTCTGAAAAATCGCTCGACTGGTTAGGACAGCACTAATAATAACACTAAGGCCAGGCTCCGTAAGTACAATATCCGAAGCACTACGCGCAGCATCAGTAGCATCGTCAACCGCAATTCCAATATCAGCCTTCTTGAGGGCAGGAGCGTCATTCACTCCATCACCCGTCATTCCACATATATGCTTCCTAGCTTGCAGACGCTTCACTATTTCGTATTTGTGCTCTGACCAAAATACCCTCCCGAAAATTAGCACACTATTAAAAAAAAAATCAGGTAAATTATGAAGGGATCAAATTTTAAAATATTATATACCCGGGAAAACACCGGCAAAACCATCGGCTTTTTCGATGAGTTCGTCAACTGGTAAAGAAGCAATTGATTCGTCTTTATTCTGTCCAAGCAAAGCCGACGAAGGGTACATATTAGTTCCCATTCCTAACCTTCGTCCCGTTTCCTTTGCAATTGCGAGCTGATCACCTGTTAAAACCAACGCCATTTTCGTCAAATTAAAATTAAAAATTAGACCTTTTTTTTTACAAAATGAGAAAACGGGTTTTTTTTTTTAATTATTTTTACCGGTAATCATTTTGACATTGACACCAAGATTCAATGCCCTTCTTATAGTTTCTGCACTGTCGTGTCTCGGTGGATCGAAGAGTGGCATTAGACCAACAAACTGCCATGGTCCTCCGGCACTCTCTTTAGTACATTCCGGAACTTCCTGCAAATTAAAAAATATAATAAAATAAATAAAATAATTAAATATAATTAACTTCAAAGTACTGTGCCATAAAATATCTATTAATTACCTGATACGCCACCCCGAGTGATCGTAAACCACGTTCAGCAAACTTGTCAATCACAGCATGAACCCTTCGCTCTATATCCGATTTGTTGTGTGAGAGGTTTAGAATCTTAACACATTTGTTTCAGTCGAAAATTAGTATATAATCATAAAAGAAACAATTAAAAAATATAAAAAATAAATAAATAAGGTTTATACCTGCTCCGGTGCACCTTTACTAACCCTATGCATTTTTCCTTCACCGTCAATATAAGTCAACGCAGTTCGTTTATCAGTCGGGTTAAACGGAAGAAAGTGTATTTCTCGAACACCTGCCCGCGCCTGTTCATAATATCATCGAAAATCCAAATCATACATAATAATTTAAAAATTATATATTAAAAAAATTAAATAAATATTACCTCCTTAGGATCAGCCAACATTCCAACTATAGCCCCGTCTATTGCATCTTGATTTTCCGTACGAGAGGCTCGAGCAGCCATTAGAACAACAGTATCTGCATCGATCCCTTTCGTGAAAACCTATGCACAATAATAATCGAAAATTAGTTATTAATAAAACCATCAATAGTCATCGGAAAAACATATTAAAAAAATTAAAAAATAAAAAAAGAAATTGTGTAAACCTCGATGAGATTCTTGTCAACGGTAAGCTTGTTCAAAGTCAAAGTCCCCGTTTTGTCACTGCAAAGCACGTCCATGCCAGCCATTTCCTCGATAGCAGTCATTCTCTTTGTAATAGCTCCCTATACACACAATTTATCGCAACACTTAATTCCATAGCCTAAATAAATAATTTAATTTAAATAACAAAATAATCGGAAAAAAAAAAAAAAAAAACCTGTTGAGCCAAACGATGAGAGCCAATAGCCATCGTAACAGAAAGTACAGTCGGCATAGCAATTGGGATTCCTCCGATCAAAAGCACAAGAAGATTGTCAATTCCGGGTCGATATTTTCTATGTTGAATCGGATACATGACGACTATCTCTATAACCATTCCCACAGCGATAGAGCAAATGCAAAAGTTCCCGATTGAAGTCAACACCTGATCACCAAAAAAAATCGAATAATAACCAACAATTTTGATAATAATTAATTAATTCCCTTACAGAAAAAAAAAAAAAAAAACTCGCCTTTTGGAAATGTCCGACTTGATTAGTGGAATCAACAAGATGCGCAGCTTTACCGAAGAAGGTGTGGACCCCAGTTGCAATAACGATGGCTTCGATTTCGCCTTGCTTGCAAGTTGAACCGGAGTATACACCATCTCCTGGTCCTTTTGTCACTGGAAGTGACTCACCGGTCAAAGCGGACTGTATATATGACATCATAATTCAGTTAAATATAAAAAATAAAAAATAAAAACAAAAAATAAAATTCAAGATTTGCCCGAAATTGGAATGTACCTGATCAATTTTCAGAGGATCACCGTCGAGCAAACGGGAATCTGCAGGGATAATATCTCCAAGTTTGATACTGATTATATCACCGGGGACTAACATGGCAGCATCTTCTTCGTTCCACCTTCCATCTCTAAGAATCTTCATTAAAAAAAATTATTAGAAAATTGCCACGAATACATAAATATTCATCGGAAAATTGCTATAAAAAAAAAAAAAGACGAACTTTTGCTTTTGGAGCGAGACGGGCCATGAGGGCAGCGGCTGCATTGCCTGCGTTATTCTCTTCGATAAAACTAATGGTCGAGTTTATCACAAGTAAAGTGATGATACCCACAAAGTCCTGCCAATCTGGAGGCTTGCCCTGCATATATTAAAATCAAGAATCGGTTAATAAAAAAAATTTGAAGAAAAAAGTACGGCTAAAGAAATCGAATTTTGAGGAAATTATATATGCTCTTACGCCTCCATTAGCAAGAGCAATTGCCATTATAGCAGCAGCTTCCATAACCCATGAGAGAGGGTTCCACATAAACCCTAAAAACTTGAGGAATTTGCTCTCCTGAGAGTGAAAAAAAAACCGACGAAAACTTTCGATTAATACGCAAACTTTTTCGAGTCAAGCAATCAAATTTCACAGATGAATAAACCATCATAATTAATTCTTGAAAAAAATACTAAACTCAACTGCAGCTAACTAAAAGATCTCTTAACATGAATTTGCCGTCTGAATCATCAAGACTATATTTTTCATTTAAATTTAAAATCATTAAAAACCATGATAATTAATTCTTGAAAAAACAATAAACTCAACTGGAGCTAACTAAAAGGTCTCTTAACATGAATTTCTAGTCTGAATCATCAAGACTATATTTTTAATTTAAATATAAAAAGAATTAAAAAAAACCATGGCACCTAAAAGAAGAATAAAACAAGGGTTTTGAGTTTTAAGGTTTAAAAAACACACCCTCTTCTCTTCAAGCTTGTTGTGTCCGAAAATGGCTAATCTCTCCTCAGCAGCCTCAGATGTAAGACCCTCTCTCGTGCATCTCAGATTCTCAAACACTTCATCAATTGGAATATTCTCCTGCAACCCAAATTAGATTAAAAAAAAATAATCAGCAAAAAAGAAAAAAAGAGCAAAATCAAGAAAATCAAGTAGAAAGCACAGTTAACAGATCCATTACCAAATCAACTGTTTCCTTCAAGACAGCATCAAGAACTTCAGGCTTCTCCTCCGCCATCCTTAAAATCTGCTAATAACCTTTTTTTTTTTCGAAATCAAGAATCAAAAAAGAAAAAAAAAAAACAAGATTGTGCTTAGCTGAGGGGAAACTGAAAAGTGCAGTTAAAAAAACAAAAAAAAAAGGCGAATGTTGATTTTGAATGAGGCTCACCCACCTAAACCAAATCTATAAAAGAATGAGTGAAACCGCTGATAATAGATAGCCAGCAGTTACAGTAAAACATGACCCTTTGCATTTCCCATTATTTTCTTACAACTATATATATATTTATTTAATTTAATATTTTCAAAAACCTACTTTTTTATTTTATTTTTTGTTTTTTGCAGTAGAAAAAGAAAGTGGGTTTTGCAGATAAATAAATATTGAATTTTTTTTATGTTGAAAAGATTAACTTTTTCTGGTCAAAATTGAATCTTTATTGAAATGCCAGCAGTTACAGTAAAACATGACCCTTTGCATATCATTTTCCACAAGTATATATATATTTATAATTAATTAAATAATTTCAAGTAGAGAAAGAAAGTGGGTTTTGCAGAAAAATAAAGATTGAATTTTTTTTATTTATGTTGAAAAGATTTAACTTTTTCCTGGTAAAAATTGAATCTTTTTGTGAATGTTTTGATAGATAGATAAAAATAGGTAGGAAATAATCAAGAACCACAAAAACTGCACGTGGGCTCTCAGGCCTACTCTCTTTAATTTCCTTTACCAGATATACATGCTGTCCATCTTCTTCTTTTCCTTTTTTTAATATTATATTATTTAATATTATATATATATCATATTTTATTTATTTTATTTAGAAAATAGAATTATGAGAATTAAGAAAATAGATTTTTCAACAGGAGAAGAAAGTAGTCACAGTGCTGAAATTGCTGATGTAGATTTTCTTGAACTTGCACTCCGCAATCTTTGACCAACAACAAGTATCCCCAATCAACCCAATTATTGTATTCTATCATGATTTTTTAATAATGTCATTATTAATAAAAATAATTAAAAAATTGGAGATTTTATATGCTAACCATGTTGGAGTTTTCTATGCACCACTACTTTGTGTTTTTTTATTTTGTTCTTTCTTTCAATCGAGAATTCAACATTAGCAACGTTTAGTTCCATGAATTATGGAAAATAAAAAATAAAAAATAAATTAATAAAATAAATAAATAAATAAAAGTATTGGGAGAAAGAAAAACAAATTTTGTTCCAATTTTTAATTCCATTTTAATTTAGACATAATTCCAAAAACTAAAATGTGAAATTTTGTTTCATTTTTACTAATTTCATCTTGACTTCAAAAGTGATTTTGATTATTTTTCAGTTTGATTTTGGCAAAATTAAAAATTAAAAAATTGTAGTCATTTGAGTTAGATTTCTAATTCAACTTGAATCGGCTTGATTGAATGTCATATGACAAAGTTATGTTTGAATGAGTATATTTTACATTTTAGATAACTCAAAACATCAAAATTGTGAGCAATGTTCATTGATTCATGAATATATTTATCACACGACATTCAAATCTTGATGATTCAAGTTGGACTAGAAAGTTAATTCGAAGAACTACAACTTCCGTATTTTGAGTTTTATTAAATTCAGACTCCAAAATGGTCATAATCATATTTGGAGAAAAAAAATGTACAAACATTAATGTTGTTGCGTTGATCATCGACATATTATTATTGTCGATCAACACACGACATTGTCGGGGGAAAAACTAATAATGTTTTATTGGTCGGTCAACACAGTATTATTTCAGTAGACAACAACATTGCCTGAAGATAAAAAAAAATTCAAGGCCGGTTTACAATGTTTGACGATGGTCCCCAATCAAAATATATGAATTGGTGAAATAGGGGTTAAATTAGGGTTACAACTCATAAATTGAGTGTTTTTTAAGAGTTTAAAATAAAATTCAACACCATTGAATGACGATTAAAGGCAATCAACCGTTAAAATTGTAAATTTGTGAAATTGAAGTGAAATTAGGATTTCAATCAAGAATTGTGTGTTTAAAGGGATAGGGGTAACTTTATCCTAAAAATTAGAGTTGCATTTGTTAGTAATGAGTTTGTAAGTGATGGGTTTATTTGCATATAAAAAAAAAAAAAAAAAAAAAAAAAACGGATATCCATTAAAATCAACTCAATTTCTCATGAACTTATATGTCATTTGTCCTAATTTTTTTCTCCTCACAATCTTCTTTATGTGCTAACTTCAACTTTAAGGAGATTAATTTATGAGTTAACTTCAACTTTATTTCGCATAACCCTCCTCCGAACCCCTAATATTTTAGCACATCATTTGAAATCTTCGTTCCGCCACTCGTTTGTGTCAGTAATATTGTTGTGACCAATGGCAACGACGACATGGTATGATTTAGTGTTTGTGCATGTTTATGTTCGTTTGCATGGATAAAGAAGATGAGAGACGACGAAAGAATTACAACAAATTGAATATATTAATTTATGGTGGAAAAAAATGAATTTACTATAAAATAAAATAAAAAAATTGTTTGATAGATTAAATTTCCAAACAAGATAAGGCTACGTGCTCTCTATACAATAAAGTCTCTTTACAATCTTTCCATATCAATTGAAAGATATCATCAATACAAATAGTTGTCGAAAACTTGGATTTTATTTCGAAATTGTAAGGGCTTTATTGGTAAATGCTAATATTTTGTGCCAAGACAAAATAACATTATAAATAAATAAATAAAAAGGTAAATTACGAACACACCCTCAGGCCCCGAGGCAAGTTAAACTACGAAGTAACCCATATTATTTATTGATTTACATTTATCCCCTTGAAATAACGTTCCATCGAAAAAAAATACTATTAGACTAGTAAAATTTATAATTTTCTCATGCATAAAAAGAAAGAAAGAACAAATAGAAAATTTAAATTACAAATAACCCCAAAAAATATGTGTAACTTATTATCGAAATCAATAAATTGATAGGTATATATTTTTTAATAAAGAACTTTTAAATTTGAGTTTACTAAATCCATAAGTAATAGTTTTTATTTTTTATTTCTTTCTTTGGAGCTAATATGATTCATTGTAAATAACTTTAAAATAATAATAACTCCATAGCATTATGATTGGAAATATCTTTTTATTTGATGACCTTAATATCTTTTTAATTTTTTGTGACTATGCCATATGTAATTTATTGTCATTGTATTGTGCTCCTATAATTTTTAACAATTTAGTATATAAAAAAATAAAATAAAGTACTTTTAATTTAAAAAACAAAGAAAATAAAGATTAGTCTAACAAATAGGATAAGAAACTTCAAACCAGGAGCGAGTCTACCCTCGGACAAGGGTGGACTTAAGAATCAAGTCACTCTCAACCGAAAATATTTTCACTATATTACACATATATATTTGTTAAGTCACCTAATTTCTATTATTTAGTCCATCCAAAATCTAATAATACAAATAAATTCATAAGTTTTTCTTTCCCCATCTTCTGATTTTGTCAATTAAAAGTTATATTTTTTTTTCTTTCAGAGCACTGCCCCCAAACCTCAAAAAAATTAAAACTCACCGCATAACAATATAATAAACTCATCACTCTTGAAACAATCACCGTTATCATTAATTTATTTATTATTTTTCTTATTTATATTTTTTTAATGTATATTCAGCCACCAGTAATGAAATATCGGTTTCGCTAGTACGAGTTTAAAATTATTCACCTTTCTTTTTTCTAGGTATCTAAAAGCTAATAAAGTGGGGTGCAACTTTTATCAATTATGCTTTCAGAATTCAACTATTATATTCTTCCTTTTTGAGATTCCAAACCGTGCAATACCTAATCTATGAAATTAAACCAACTCTTTAAAGTTTATTGAAAAAAGTTAAATGAGTAATTGTGTAAATATAAATAGTTAGATGTAACTCAATAATTATTAGGGGACACACGATTGACATTTCTCAATTCATTTATTGCAATTAAGAGTAAAAGTTGGTAAACCTAGAGTTGAGGAGCAATGTGTTCTCAATCCTTAATTAATTTACCTATTTGTCTATGTGTAATATTATTAATGATAAATACTTTAAATAACTACCATCTTCCAACTCCTATGAGCTACAAACAATCAATGTTTACAATTTTCATATTTGATGAATTTACATTTTAATTTAAGTACTACATACGTTTGAAATTATGGTACTTTCGTTTGTGGTTGAACGTGATTTGCGAAAAGAAATATAAAAACAAGAGTACAATGAAAAATTAAGAGTTATGGTGCGACAAAAACGCAATGAGGATAAAGAAACATCATAAACAAGACTGGTAAGAGAACTTATAAAGAGCGTCGACTCTGATACCATGTTAAGATACTTTAAAAAGTATTACGGTAATTTATTTTTCTTTAATGGAAGAAGCTATTTATAATCGAGTTGTGTGCGAATATTTGGGTAGGTGATATGATTATCGGTTAACCAACTGACCCAATCTGACTAATTGACTTTGATAGATACAAAAAAAAAAAAAAGATCATTATCGACCAAACTTTTTAGATCGGTTAACGGAAAACCGACTTTGTTGGTTGCGCAATAGTTTGGATGATGGTTATCGTCGGCGTTATTTGTGTTGGAATTTTCATGATTTTCAATAATTAATATTTAGTAATATTAATTAAATTATGAAAAGATTAATTTCATTTATTTACTTCATAATCATGAAGTAAAGTGAATGAAAATTGTCTTGATTAAATGGTTAAAGTTCAAAAGATGTGCGCTCGATGTGATCGAGTGGTAGGACTAGTTTGGGTTTAGGTGTCTACAAATATTACTTTTGGGGACATTTAGTAATTAGTCAAATTATTTGACCAAAAATCCAAATAATAAAATATTTGGCTCAAACCAAATATTTAATTAATTGGCCCATGACCAATTAATTTTCCTACGTTTTTTTAACTCGTAAAAAGAACAGGCACATCCTTCTGCTTCTTTTCCAACCATTGCAACCCTCTGTGAATGGATCTCTACAACATATAAATAAATGCAGAATCTGGCCAATTCTGTACTGAATTTAATCGGTAATTGAGAGTTAGTTCTTCATATTCTTCTTTTTCTTCGTCAAAGTTTCGTTCGTTGTTCAAGTTCGCCGTGGGTCGAATATTCGTGCAAATATTTGACAACCGATCGTTGTACCTTGGGAGACTACCGGGAAGAACTGTGCACCGTTGACAGCCCGCAAATATTGTCTTAAGGGAATTGCTTTGGCAAGCCTCGA